ATATGATTCACAGTTTCAGAGGATCCAAGTCTTGGTGGGACATATTCTGGGGTTGAACCTATGGGTCTACTGTGGAGCCTACAACCAGTTCCAGGCAGCAAACCTGGACTCAGGTAGGCCAAGGCTGGAGCTGTTCAAAATGACCAGCACTGATCTATATGATCAGTTTTTAGTATCCGAGTTAACTGTTTCCCATCAACCCTCAGACTGAGAAAGATGAACGTCCAGACTCCCATGGAGGTTGTCATCTCAGTGTACCAGGGGCAGCAGACTGAAGGGTTCGTGGATCAGGTACCACTTGTTGGTGGAGCGCTGGTACATGGCACCAGGTGTCTGCCGGATCCCAGTTACAGAGTGTGGACTCACTGGAACCATTTTCTTGCCCCCAGGTAGTTGTAAGATGATTTCCAGAAATTAAATAAAATGTCTTGGCTATAATAGATAAATAACAAATAAATAATAGTTAAATATAAAACAAAAGTTAAAATTGTCATCAACCTGCTTTTCTTTTTTGTCCCCATGTTAGCCTTAGCTGATGAATAGGTTAGCATCATCATCAGTTGCAGCAGGTCAACTTACAACACCACAGGAGACATTGTACCATGTGCATTAGGATTGTTTTGCTGTAATCTAGTGGACATCAGTAGTCATTCTATGTTTCAACCAACTCAACACAAGTCTCTGCCAACTTACTTTTTGGGGTCGGGGGCTGAACATTTTGGCACAACCTTTGACAGTGTGAGGATCATTGAAGGTACCTGGGCTATGGTGGGAGGTGGTGGATAGGCATACATTTATATTCACTTCTCTACTGAAGTCACTAGCCTTAACTGCATTAACCTCTCTATACTATTCGGTCATAACAACATCTTCCTAGACATTAACTAGTTGGGTGAAGATGCCATTTGTCCCAAAAGATCTGCTGCTGAATTGTTCACCATGAAGTAGATGATTATGTCACAGAATAAAAGAAAAGAAAGATTTGGAGGTCACCAAAATCATAATGGTCCATCCTCTTGCCACCATTGACATCAAGATATTCTTGACTGAACCATACTGATTGACCAACAGGCTAAAACTGCCATTGTCATCCATAACCATACATGTTGCTATCAAGGCCAATACAAATACATGTATCAACGTGGGTTGGGGGAGGTTACCGCTGGGTTTTGTTTTGAACACCGAGCCCTAACCCAAACACAAATTCTGCCACTGAAAACTGCTGAACCCAACTACCTGTAACCTGCAGACATTTGATAAACCATGATTGTTTCCACAAAGATTCTTTAGTCAGGTATAAACCTGGCAAATGAGTCAATACAATATTCAAGGTAGACAAGTAACCCACATGAAAGTTTGGCTGTAGCAATATGGAGCCTTCAAAGGGAAATGGAGGTGAATGATGTCAACGATAGATGACACAATCTAAATCTAATCTAGGACCTGGACCTTTCCCCAGCATCCTTGACCTGTGGGGTGGTGGAGGGTTGTTGGTAGAGTGCCGTGCAGCTCTGATGGCCTCCCATGGCTTTGCCTGCCTGGCCCTTGACTACCTGAAAATCCCCCAGGAAACAGGAAAGATGGTGGACAATGAGTATTTTGAGGTAAAATCCAATCACAAAAAGTAGTATTTATAAGTAGTATAAAGTACACACATACTGTACATATCAGTAATATGTGTCAAGTTTATCATTGATGGTTTTTGAAGAGGGTTTGAATCAAGGGAACCTGGATTTGACATTTAAAGACATTTGACCTCTCACTTCTTTGGTTCTCAGTTTTTCATAAACCCCCTACCAGTCTGAGGTGATTCATCCCAAAATGTTAAGTGAAATGTCTGAATTGCATCATCCAGGTAATGGTTATCCAAGAAGTTAAATAGAGAGCAACTTGACCTGAAGATACTGATTCTAGAAGACAATAAGTAACTTTGTTTAAAATAAAACTAGTTTCCAGACTTGCACATCCAGCAGACACAGAGCAGTAGTT